GCCATGCCTCCACCTCCATCCAGTATCACCAGCAGCCCCAAGGGAAAGGAAAGAACTTAAGTCAGAAATGGCTGTGGCTCGGTGTGATGGCTCATGCCTGGACTCTGTACTCAGGAAGCAGTACTGAGGCAGGAGCATTGCCACAAGTTGGAGGCCAGCTGGGGTACAGAATGAGACCCTGTCTCAAACAGAATAGTAGGTCTGGGGTTGGGGGCATAGCCCAAAGAACACTTGCCTAGCATTGATGAGGCCCTCTCTTGGATCCCAGCCAAGATTTAGGTACCTCAAAACAGAAGTATTTCACCATTCCCTTCTCCCAGCCCATGGTCTAAGAGCTAGCTGATAAGATACATGGCTAGTCTTTGAAATTTCCCCATGATGATACAGGAAAAAACAAGAATATGCCTGGGTCCCTTACCCTTGGTGGAACTTAAGATGTGGGTTTGGAGAGGGCTCTGTTCTGAGACATGGTCTCCCTATGTGGCCCTGGCTGCCCCAGAACCCGCTATGTAGACCAGTCTGAGCTGAGCTCAAGGACTTTGCCTCTGCCTTACAAATGCAGATTACATGCACCAACACAGCAGCGGGGCTTCATGAAAACCTGACAGTTGTCAGTGTTCAGACCCATGTTATCACCAAAAAGGGGGCCCTGATGATGAGAAAAGAACAAGCCATCCACAGCTACCCACCTGGACAGAACTGTCTGCAGTCTGTGGTGGAGACTGGGTCATGAACTAAGGCCAGTGTCCTGCTGAAGGGCTGCTGTTTCTGTTTTCAAGCCGGCTTCCTGTGTGCGAACTGCAGACCACAGCTTGGCCTGCCTGCCTGACAGCTGGCCAAGTGACAAGTGATCCCAGTTGTTACCTCCACTGGCCTGGCTGGACCTATCTGCTACATTTTACAGCAGGAGGGCGGACAGAGGAGCCAGCAAAGCCAAGCCCCGTCTGCAGTCCCTACCACCAGGCTGCCTGACCTGGGTAACAGACCCAGTTCCTGAGGCATCAGCAACAGCACAATGGCCACAGCAGCAAGAGCTGCCACTCCTTCAGCCTCTTCCTGGAGAGTGCAAGGCATCCTCCAGAACCTCAGGGAGAGCCTTCCAAGAATTTTTCCCAGGCCGCTTTCCAGTGCCTAGTAAACGGTTCTGCAGCCCGGCTCCTGCTTGGGAGCCCCTGCCGCCCTTTCCTGCCTCCAGCCACTGTGAGTTCCCACTGCCCTGCCCTTGGCTGCCCACATTGGCACCTGCTGCTGACCCCTTCACCTCTGCCCACCTCCACAGAGAGTGCCAGGACCTCCACCCTGTGACATCTGCCCTTGAATTTTATGGCAGTGCTCTGAATACTTACCCAGGGAAACACATTAAAGGGACTGCATCGCTCCTCACTTCTTATTCTGGTCACTTTAAGCCTGATATCGAATGGTTTCTTCTCTAGTTCTTCAGAGAATTCCACCTTGGGTCCTGAAGGCTTTTCTGCTCTTCTGCAATGACACTGGAGCTCCTAGCTGGCCCAGAGGCTGTGTTCTGCCTGCAGGTCCCATGTTGCTCGCAGGTGGGGACCCAAAGCTGCCAGGTGGGCTCCAGGCTTGCCAGTTCCTACAGTGGCTGTCACAGACCCCCACTGTCTTCATTCAACCATCCCACCTAATCAAGGGCCTCTGCTCTCCAGGCATTGCATGACTGTAAAATGACAGTGGCTAAGTCACACATTTGTGGCCTTGCTGGTGAAGCAAGGCCTGCAGTGTGGTAAGTGGCTACCCAGGTCCAAGAACTGTTTTTGCTAGACAGTTGTATCTTAAGACAAGCCCTGACCTCGGTTTCTTATCTGTCAAGAGTTCAGTCCTACCAAGTAGGGATTGCAGAGGACTCGAGGAAAGCATCCTGGGCTGCTCTGCATGAGCTGCCTGTCCAGGACTCACGGTCACCAACTTTTAGGAAGCCTCAGGAAAGCCTGAGCTAACAGGAAGTTTACCAAAATGCTTGGTTCCCATGTAGGGCACTGCATGACCCTAGAAGGTGTTCCCAACCATGTCTGGGTGGGCAGACAGGCACTGAGGAACAATTTCAAGTATGCTTGCTCTAGACACGTGAAACACTGAATCACTTCCTCTTCCTTACCCCAGGCTAGGTGTACCTACCACAGCACACCAGTCAACTTGAGAAACCCAGGCTCATTTACTGTGGTCACCTCATCTTGTCCGGCCTCTCCCTGAACAGGCTTGATAGGCTGGTTACTTCCCCAGCCACTGGGAGAATCACTGATTCATCAAAATCCCATCCCTGGCAAAACCACCCCACCCTGGGCTGTCATTGCCCTATCAGCAACCTGCTACTCCTCCCCCACAAAGGCAGGTGGCCTCACTGGTGCCCTTCTGAGCCACTGGACCTATATGAGCAGCAGCCCCATCTCTGGTTCTCTACATAGTCCCTGGGGAGCCTCAGGAACCCCAAGACCCTTCCTTCTCTGACATATTTACATGACATCCTAAGTGCCACCACAGAGCATTTACTTATAACTCACCATATGAACAAGCCCCATCCATTCCTGAGCTCAGCTTTCCTATGTTAGATAATGAAGGGACTTCCTCATCAGTTAAACACGCTGCAGAGGGTATCAGCCATTGGCTTGGGAGGCACCCTGTCCTCCCAGTAGAACCTTTCCAGGTTCACACTGGCACAAGTGTGCACGCAGCCTTTACAGTCAGCTCAGCTTGTTGCACAAAACAAACTTTATTGAGGATGAGTTAGCTGATGGGGTCACAGGTCTAGATCGGGCATCTGTTCTTTCCTGCCCCTTCACCGCGCTAGGTCCTTCCTGATCTAGAAATTGACACTCCTGTCTGAAGAGAGGGGGGTCTCTTCTAACACCAATAACCCTGCAGTTCCAGAACAGTCTAGAGGCTGAAGTGATGTGACCATACAGGAAAAGCCCTTTACAAAGGACTCTGAGAGACAAAAGAATCCAGAGGCCATCCTGCCAGCAGAACTGGGCGCCAGCTCAGTGGGGGCAGGGCCCACTAGCAGGTCCATGATCATGTCTCAAAACAAACAAGGGCTGGGGATTTAGCTCTGTGGTAGTGCACTCGGCCAGCATGTGCGGGGCTCTGGGTTCCACTGCTAACATAAACCCCAGAACTTTGACTCTGATGGCCTTGTAACGTTAGGCATTGAAGAAGTAGACCTTGGATTGGGGAAGCAAGGCTTAAGACAGCTCTGACCAATGCTAAGTAGTTTCCCTGCTTCTTCAGTGCTGGGGGAGCCCAGGGCCTTGGAAATGCCAACAGGCACTGCAGTGATCCACACTGAAGCCTCTGCCTGCAAGGTGTTTTGGGGTTTGTTGTCTGTTTGAGACAGGGCCTTACTGTATTGCTGTACAGCCTGGGCTATCCCCAAACTCTTGGCACCCTGCATGCCTTCCCACCTGCTGGCGTCACAGGTGTGCCTTCATGCCCTGCTGATTTTATTAACTAGCTCAAACTCCACAGAGCCCTGTCTGCCCTGCCTGCAGCACTATGGATGTTTCACGCGAACTGATCTTTAGACTTCTTTTTGGTGGTTGGCTTTGGCTTTAGTTGTGATTTAAAAATAGAAGTAGTTGGGTAATGGGTTTTTGAAACAGAGTTGAGATCTCGTCAGAACAGGAGTACCAATACTGCAGGGGTGACTGGGGCCCCAGTGGTCTAGACCAGAGGCTTCTTTGATATTGGGGGCACTGTAGACATCAGCAAGTCTCAATACTGGATGAGGGTCCATCCTAAGGGGACAAAGGCGGGAACTCTGATGACCGTCATGGCTTTCGAACAGTCATGGGGGTCAGGAACACAGCTCAGAGGGTAAAGTGAAGGATGTGCGTTCAAGCCCCAGAAAAAGCCAGATGTGATGGTGCACACTTAAGTAGTCCCAGAAGTAGGGAAGCTGGGCCAGGCAGAAGCCAGCGTAGCCCGTCTGGTGAGTTGGAGGTCAGTGACAGACCCTATTTTTTCTTCTTAAAGGATGGCTAGCACCTGAGGAACTGAAACAGGTTGTCCTCATGCATTTGCACAAACGAGAAATAAGTGGCTAAACGTGCAAGAGTCTTGTGCAGCTGCTTTACCTCCACTACTCAGTTGGACCACTTTCTCTGTTGCTGGGCTACCGGCAGATGTTTTTTCTACTAGGTCAAAGGTGCCTTTCCCCTACCAGGCTTGGCTGACGGCCCAGAGCCTCTCTTGGGGCCTGTCTGCTGGCTACGGAACAGACTTCCAAAGCCACTTTGCCAGGACCCAGGAAGGCTCCCTGAGGTTGACAGCCTCCTGTGTCACCCCACTGTCCCTAGCTATCAATAAAAAAGCTGGATATAACACTCTGCCACACAAGAGGGGGCCTCACGGCAGGCATGGCCCCTCTGAGCGAAGCTTTGCTTTCACTCTGGTATGGTTAGGCTTCGGTGGCACCTAGAACTCTTTATTTCAGCCCCCAAGTGCAGAGATTACAAGGCATGCACCACCCCCTCCCCCTCTACAGCTCTTCCTGCAGAGGCCTCCTCCTCGCCCCCACAGCTCCCTTCAGCACTGCCTTAAAGATAGGCTGCATGCCACAGGGAACGGTACCTTATACCTACAAGTAGAAAAGACCAGCATTCCCAGGGGTGGGGGGGTCAGCTGAGCCCCAGACTGCCGGTTAGAGCAGGAGCTCCTAAGGGTTGGAGTCTTTCCCAGAAGGTGGAGACACACCTGTTGTAAAGACACTAAGAGGCGAAGTCCCCTGGAAAGTTCCCCACATACATAAGCCTGAACTAGTCAGGCTGACATCAGAAGATGGATCTGACCTGGTCCCAAGTTAGACGGGGCATTGGATCATGGGGAGCCTCATAGGGCTGGTGACACCCCTCAGGGAGCTAAATAGATGAGTGGTCCTTATGGGCTTGCTTGACCTAGGCGGAGCATTTGGGGACATAGCAAGTTTGGCCTACCCGCCCTGGGCTGGGGCTGCACCCTCTCCACTCAGCCACCGCAGGCCCCTCTCTTTTTCAAATGCTTTTAATGTTTTCAGACAGTGAGAGCTTGTTGCAATGGCTGGAGGCTGTGCTAGTGGCTGAGAGCACCCCCTGCCTACCCACAACTCCCTTCTTCCAGGAAATGCTTGAAAGGGGCCGTGCCCGCCTTGAGGCCCCATCTTTGTGTGGCAGAGTGTTATATCCAGGGTGTCCTGCTCCTCCTCCCCCAAAGTCTCCCTCAAGCCCAGGAGAAGGGGTTCTTGCAGGCCCTAGGAGCTGATGACATGCCCGGACCAGGTCTCATGCTTGGTGCCCGGTGCCAGGTGGGTGATGACCACCTCCACAGCCTGCAGTTTCTCATTCTTGGGCGGGATAGAGCACATCTTATAGGTGACCTCGTCGCCTTCCACCGGAACATACTCCCCTTCCACACTGCAGGAGAGAAAGAGCAGTCAGCAGGGCTGAGGAACGGCAGTGTAGAAAATGCCTACCTGAGTCTGGATCCCCAGCACCCATGTGAAAAAGCCTGGTGTGGTGGAGTGTACTTGCCAGTGCTGGAGAGGCAGAGTCAGGAGGACCTGGTGCTGGCTGGCCAGCTAGCCTTGCAGATCAGCGAGAGACCCTGTCTCGACAAATAAGGTGGAGATGGGACTGGAGAGATGGCATGCTTAAGAGCCCTTGCTGTTTACTCTTGCAGAAGACCTGGGTTCAATTCCCAGCACCCAACTTGACAGCTCACAACTGTCTGTAACTCCTGTTCCAGGGGATCCTACACCCTCTTCTGGTCTCCACAGGCACCAGGCATACATATGGTACACTTACATACATGCAGGCAAACACTCGCAAAATTTTAAGAAAATAACTAAGGTGGAGAATGATAGAAGAAGACACCAATGTTGACCTCTGGCCTCTGAAAACACATGGACAGACACAGACACACACACACAACCAATCAGTGCCCACAGAAAACAAGCCCCATAGACTCCTCACTGGGACACCAGAATGGACACCATCTTCCTAGCTACTCAGTCCTTTCAGAAACAGTGCCTCCTTGCCCTTCTACCAGCCTGTGTCCTGGCCCCAGCGGCTCCTCTCTGGGGCTAAGACAGCCCAGCCACTTGGATGTTCATGTATCGGCACTGAGCATGTGACTCAAACTCAGACCAGCTTTCCTCGGCTGTCTCTACACACTGCCCTTGGTCTCAGGGCTTCCAGAACCAAACTTTTCCACCTTCAAAAAGGTGCCTAATAAGCCAAGCCTGGCAGCATGGGCATGTAATCCCAGCTACTTGGGAGGCTTAGACAAGAGGACGGCAAGTTGAAGATCTCCCTGGCCTACAGAGAGAATTGAAGACCAGGCTGGCCAACTTAGTTGAGATCATGTCTCAAGAGAAGAGTACAGAGGAGCTCAGCAAGATGAACTGGGGAAGGAGGCTAAGGCTGCTGACCACCAAACCTCATAACCTGGATTTGATCCCCTTAACACTGATTCCTATAATGTGTTGTACCTCATACTAGTATGGTGGTATACACATGCCCACACATACATACATATGTATTAATAAAATGCAAAAAACAATTTATAAAAATAAATACATGCGGCCGGGTGGTGGTGGTGGTGGTGGTGGTGGTGGTGGTGCATGCCTTTAATCCCAGCACTCGGGAGGCAGAGGCAGGCGGATCTCTGTGAGTTCAAGGCCAGCCTGGTCTACAGAGCGAGAGCCAGGACAGGCTCTAAAACTACACGGAGAAACTTTGTCTCAAAAAAACAAAAAAGAGTGCTGAGGACACAGCTCAACGGCAGAGTAGTCTGCCTAGCACATGAAAGTCCATGTCAGGCAGGCAATGGTGGCGCATGCCTTTAATTCCAGTACTTGAGGCAGAGGCAGGTGGAGCTCTGAGTTCTAGGCCAGCCTGGGCTACAGAGTGAGTTCCAGGACAGCCAGTGCTATTACAGAGAAAAACCCTGTCTCGAAAAAAAAAAAAAAAAAAAAAAAAAACCAAAAAAAAAAAAAAAAAAAAAGCCGCCTATGCTGAATAAATAGCATGGAGAAAAGTCCCCAGTTGCTTCAAGCTAAGTTCCTAACTGGTCTCTCTCTTGTGATCAGCCACTGCAAGGCTTCCTGACTTCTTATGGGATGGATCACGGTCTCACATGGAGGGCAGCATCCTGATGATCCTAAGTCCCAGGGCCAGCCAACATGCCCTGGAAGTGACTTGTTCTGATTCGAGACTCTCCAAGCAATCAATGTTTTCCCTCTTTGAAATGGTCACCAGGGAGCTTCTTGTAGCCATTCCAACAGTAGACCCTAGACATCTTACAGAATCTCCATCACTCACGCTTGCCCCACCCTATGCTTCCTCCTAATCACTTTTCATATTGTACTGTGTGTGCTTATAAATCACTGGAAATCCTTCCTGGAAAGAGGTAGTATGAACATTATACACCCATGCATGCATTCATACACATGTAAAATGCATCTAGCAACTATCTCAGGTCTGTGCTAGCTAGGGGGATTATATTTTATTCTTAGAGACTAGAGTCTTACTATGTCGCCCTGGCTGGCCTGAAACTCAGTGTATAGATCAGGCTGGCCTCAAACTCTCACCAACTCTCCTACCTCTGCCTTCTGTGTGCTGGGATCACAGGCATACATCACCATACCCAGCTTACAGGGCCTTTTCATCAGACCTGGTATGTAAGCATGCTGGGGTGGCAAAGGGGAACTGGCTAGAATTTCCATCACAGCAGAGGGGTGCAACACGACCCTCTTTTTCAAACCATGGTTTCAGACTTAGTTGGGGCTTCTGGGAAAAAGGCTCTGGTTCCCATTGGCTGAGTGAGATTGAATGTGTGGCCAGGGTGTCAGTCACTGGTAGGGTACTTGCCTAGCTTTGGACTCAGTCCCCAGTTCAGCCAAAATGAAATTAGGGCGGGCTGGGTGCTTGGCCAAAGAAGCAAGTCTGGATAGAGTTCCCAGGAAACCCAAAAGCTGCTCAGGAGCCCAACAGGGAAGGGGCTGCTGGGGGCCTTGTGGGCCACACCCTGGACTCCTGCAAGCTTCCAGACAGGAAGGAAGAGCCTCAGTGAGCAAGTGGTGGGAAAAAGGGACCGGCCCTGAGCTTCCTTCCTGGAGCAGAAGAAACAGACAACCCCAGCCTCTCCAGGCCACTCCCCATCCCAGGGACACCCTCCCCCACAGGCCAGGCACAGGACACTCATAACCCACCATGAACCATTTGCTTTCACATACCAGGCCCAGCATCGTCGTCGTCACCTTGCCCCCAGCATCTGTAGCGGACATACACCCAAGACTTCATACAATCCACAGATATGCCCAATCACTGTCACACATGAACTGCTGTGTGACACTCCTCATACACCCTCAAGCCTAGCACCTTCCAATGACACTGTCCTATACAGCATGGGGCCAGGACCACACCCCCTCGACCCCCAGTCTAGACCTCCAGATATGCTACAGTGAACTCACTCAGAGATGTGAAGGAAGATGTCAGGGCCACCATCAGCCGGGGTGATGAAGCCGTGGCCCTTGGACCGGCAGAAGCATTTACAGACTCCTTTGTAGACAGGGCCCTGTGAAGCCCTCACCGTCCTGACAGAGAGGGAGATGCACGGGACACCCATTAGTTCCATACAATAGCCACCCACTCCACTCTCCCAGCTGTGCCTCAGGGAGACCTGGCTAGGGCCACCATGTATAGTCACACAGGCTTTGTGCACGACCCTGGGAGCCGTTCACACAGAATTGTAGAAATGACTGGACAACCTTGGCACATTTTCTCAGGCCTGTTTGTCCATCTGGAAACAGGGGCTGAAATAACATATTTGGGAGCATCCCTTTCAGAAACTGTTTTTAACAGCTTTAGCATCCACTCACAGGGCTTAAACTCTACACCTGCTAGTGGCTACCCAGGCACCGTCCCCACCATACAGCCGAGGGAGTCAAGGCCTCCTGGGGAAGAGGCCTCTGTGGCTAAAGCCCAGCAGCTTATCACTACGGGGGATGGGGGGGGGACGGGACCGCGGCAGCTCCCACGGCAGCTCCCACAGACGAGGAGGCTAGCACCTGAGTTTGCGAGCACCTAGTGAGTTTCCTCCCTAGCACTTCTCTAGGACTCTCCAAGAGATGCCCAGAGCATAGATCCTGCTCGCTCTGGTAGCAGCCCCCATTTTAGGAAGTGTGTTTGGCCAGCCTGAGACTTACGCTGAGAAGGTCCTTGTCCTGCGGGTGGGCAGAGGACTAGGGACCACATTGCCTCGCAGTGGGGATGGAGAGCGATCCCGGGTCCGAGGAGTGTCCAATAGCCCAACATTAGTCTGATGCGGCGTCGGGGCCTGTGGCGGCGGCGGGGGTGGTTCAGATGACATGGCTGACCTACAGAGAGAAGGGGGCTCTCAGGGTCCTGTCTCAGGACTAGACAAGGCACAGCCTGAGTCTCCAGAGGCTCACTCCAGGTCACCTTGTCTGTGGTCACACCTTGGCTCGGGTGTCGGCTCAGGTGCCAGCGCTGGGCTCCCATAGCAACTACAGGCCTCCCTCCATCTCCACTGTGTAAGAAAATGCCAGGTCATGTGCTGGGGTGATAGCCCAGTCAGTAGAACACGTATCACACAAGCAGAGAGCCTGGGTTTGATGCCCACAATCCATGTATAATAGAAAAGCCTGGTATAGGGCTGGAGAGGCGGCTCAGCTGTTAGGAGTGTTTACTGCTCTTGAAGAGGACACGAGTTCAGTTCCATGTCGGACAGTTCACCTGGAATTCCAGCTCCAGGAGATCTGACACACTTGTTCTAGCCTGCATCTGTACTCACATGCACAAACTCACACACAGACCACATATGTACATAGTCAACAAAAATAAATCTTTCTTGTTTTGTTTTTGTTTGTCAAGAGAGGGTTTTGCTGTGTAGCCTTGGCTGTCCTGGAACTCACTCTGTAGACCAGGCTGGCCTCAAACTGCCTCTGTCTTCCAAGTGCTAGGATTAAAGGCATGCACCACCATGGCCCAGCTAATTAATCTTTTAAAAAGCTAAGATGGTGGTGTGTGCCTGTAATCCCAGCACTGGGAAAGTAGAGGCAGGTGGATCCCTAGGGCTGGCTGGCTAGCCAGTCTAGCCTAATCAGGGAATCCTAGGTCCCAGTGAGAGACTGTCTCAAAAAACACCTGGAAGATTAACAGTGGAGGTTATTCTCTAGACACACACACACACACACACACACACACACACACACACACACACACACACAGACACGGTGGAGGGCGGTATATACTAGGCAATTCCCTGTGGTAACCCCTATATGTCCCCAACACAGCCCTTGGCATGCTTCAGACACTCAGTAAACACTGTGAGGGAGAGTGTGCCCTCGGCAGGGACTTCATTGCCAAAAGCACAAATCAACAGCCCCTGTTCCCTTCCCGCTCTGCCCCACAACTCTGCAGGCACTCTCCCTCAGGAGCCTGCAGAGCGCACCCAGGGCTGTTCACAGCCTAGCGTGGCTCCCTGAGGGGCTGGTATGAGCTCCTGGCCAGGTGGATTACCACTAAAGGTCCCCGAGGAGGAGTACCCCCGCAAACTCACACCTGCCCAGGTACTACTCCCAGCCATGAGATCCACTCTCTCAGTGACCCTCAGAGGCACAGAATTCAGGCAAAAGTTGAAGGCAGAGGCTCTTACAGGCCAACCCAGCAACCAGGGGTCAGACAGGGTAAGGCAAAAGGATTGCTATGCGCTCGAGACAACCTGGACTGCAGCAACACCGCAGTTAAAAGGGGGTGGGGGGCTAAGTTAATGGTTCAGCAGTTAAGGGCACTGGCTGCTCTTCCAGAGGTCCTGAGTTCAATTCCCAGCAACCACAAGGAGGCTCACAATCATCTGTAATGGGATCTGATTCACTCTTCTGGTGTGCCTGAAGACAGGTCACTCATATACACTAAATAAATAAATAAATATTTAAAAAAAAAAAAAAAAAGGATATGGGCAGCACGGCCATGGTACACAAGTGACCCGAGGACAGGGTGGGACCAACCAGCCTTGGCTCAAGGTCAAGAACAGCCACTCTAGGGTCAGCCCTTAGGTAAGTCCTTTCCCCTTTCCAGACTCAGTCAAACTCAGGGGTGTCCTCTGACATCTGCTCAGGGATGACAAGCAAAGCCAAACACTCCAGCAGGACCAAGGGAGCCAATGGGACAGGGACAGGCCTGAGCAGGTTTGTGTGGCCCTGTGATTGGTCTGTCATATAAAGGAGCTGTCTTCTAAACAACCCAGCTACAATTGGATTTTCTGTTTTGTTATTTTGTTTTTCGGGCTTCCTGTAGCCCACACAGGCCTCAACCTCCAAGTGCTAGGATTACAATTGTGTACTGCCATGTCCAATTTCTGTGCTGCTGTGGATTAAACCCAGGGCTCTGCTCACTAGGCAAGCACTGTACCAGCTGAGCTGCATCTCCAGCCCCCTCGGCTCTAGGTACCCTGGGCCCCAGCTCATGGCCAGACTCTTCCCATTTATGATAACTCCACCGCCCCAGGGCTGCGTTTTCCCCTGCTCTACCCAGCAAGGCCCACTTGCTTCAGCTCCAACCCTCCACCTTGCAGTCCTCGGGTTCGGGGGAGCAAGGTGTGCAAGGCAAGGGTGCCTCTCTCCCCAAAGATTCAGACTTCTCCTCCATATGCCCTGCCCCTCTCTGGGGACTCAGTCCTGCCTGGCTGGAAAGATGTCACTGGCCAGCCTTCCAGAGAAGTGACATGGCTACCTACTGACCTCTTAGCTGTGGCCCCAGCCAGGCAGGACCACGAGTCCAGAGAAGCCCCCACCTTGAAGAGGTCCTGGCTGCTGGCCTGCTGGTCAGGTGTCTAGCACAGGTCATAGAGTCCTAGAATGTTCCAATGCCGGGAGTTCTGGGAAGAAGGCTGGCCCAGAGAGGGAGAGTGGGCCCCACCCAGGCCTCCCAGGACGTGGGGGTGACATGGGGACCTGATGACATCAGCATGAGGAGAGCTGCCCTTCCCTCTTCCAACTAGTCTCCCTGCCTCTCTCCTAACCCTCCCCAACCCCAGTCAGGGACACAAGTTCGGATCTTCCCACCTGCCAGCTGACTATCATTAGTGACACCAACCTCTCAGGGCCTCAGTTTTTGTATCTGAGAAATGGGAATTGTGGCAGCTTCAGACAAATCATGACATTGAAATGAAGTAATACATACAAGCACTGAGGGTACAGCTCTGCCCCGAACAAGCAGGCAACAAATACTTGCTATGGTCATTGCTGTAAACTGCAATCACAAAGTCACTCAACAAACATATCTAATACCTGATACAGGAGACACAGGGCAGAACCTGGAACCAGAGGAGGCGGTGGGGTCACAGACTGCCAAAAGGCCTGCTAACAAAAGAGATAAAAAGTAATGGGATAGGAGTGCAAAATGGACCTGGAATATGAAAAACAGTCAGACATTTGAAAAACAGTGGGAGAAGCTAGGGTGGTGGTACTTGCCTGTAACATGAGCACTTCTCTGGACCAGCCTGGGCTACAGAGATCTGGGCTAGCCTAGGCTACAGAGACCATCTCAAGAAAAGAGATACAGAGGGAGGCTGTTCTGGGTACAGACAGTAGGGTGTGGAGAGGGCGGGCTGTGGTTCCAGGCCGGGAGGCATTGTGGGAGTGGGGCAGGAAGTAAGGTCCAGAGGGCGGGGCCAAACCAGGAAGCAGGCTGCACCACCATGGCTGTCATCACCCTCTCTTCCCTGCTTTGCGCCTTCTGCCTGTCTGCTCAGACACCCTTATCATGCCCACCTCTCCAGGCTCATGAAAAAAGACTCAAAGGGGTCTTTCTCACTCTCCACTCAAGTCCCCTCATACCTCAAATCCAGCTTCTTCCTTGGAAAGGCCTGGGAAGCCCACGGCCTTCAGTGGACACCACACTGAGGGCAACCCAAGGGTCCCTTGACACTCCAGGCCCAGCCCAGGGGCTGGCACGGGCCAGGGTCGTGGGCACCCTTTGTGTGCCACACTCACCCTAACTACAGTGGAAGAAACTGAAACACGGAAATGAAGTGGCTGAGGCAGGGGTGGGAGCTGGGAAAGCTCCCGGGAGACCCTCAACGCTGCTCCACTACCCAAACTAGCCACTCAGGAGGCTGAAAGGAAGCTGGGCTCGGGCGGGGACAGAGTCCAGCTGGGGTGGGGTAGGGGTCTCCAGGAGGCCTCCCTGGCCCTGCACACGCACCAGGACACAGCCCACAGCAGCAGTCTGGAGCCTGGAGCTGGAACAGCCCCAGCTCCCTCTGCCGCCCCTGGCTCCGGCTGGCCCCTGGCTCCGGCTGGCCCCTGGCTCAGGCTGTCATGTTGCTCTCTGCCTGCTCTCAGCAGCACCGGGGTGGCCCTGGAAAAGGCACAGCCCACCCTCCATGATGCGCTACTGGGAGATGGAAATGGGGCTGAAGCTCTTACCTGCAGGGGCTCTGGGCTAGACCCTGGTGAGCCTCTGCCTGAGACCAATTCTGACAAAATGAAATGGCTAAGATGTGGTCATGACTGCCAGACTAGGTACACACATGTGTTTATCTGTGTGTGACTATGTAATATTACACGTATATGGGGGGGTATTGTTTATGTACATGATCACAGGAACACACATCTGCATGTATATGTGGGGAGAAGGGGCAGGGTGCACACATTTGTGTGTGCACAAACTCTGGATGGGTCAATAGCGCCTGGAACACCAGGGCCCCTCTGTTACGTCTTTTTTATTTGAGACAAAGTCTTATATAGCTCAGCTGGATGCAATCCAGGGCTTCCTGAATCCTAGGCAAGCACTCTACCAACTGAACCACATGCTTAGCTGTATGTTCCATGCCCAGCACCACCCGCATGTACCAGCAGAAACCCAGAGCCCTTCTAACCCTCAATGGGGGTGGGGGCGGGGACAACACCGGGCAGGATAAGACACAAACCCCTCTGCCAAACAAGGCCAGCCCAGGGAGAGGCCCAGGGCCTGGGGGTAGGATGCCACACCCACCCTGACTGTCCAGCATGGAGAGCATGTCAGCCTCTTATCCTGAGAAATGTGGCAAAGGGGGCCACTAGCTGAAAATAGAAGGGAATTTTCCATAGACCTTATAGAAAGTTCTGGAGGATTCCGGGAGCTCAACTGGGCACCAGGATGGCCTCCTCAGCCCCTCTACAGCCCATCCCAAAAACTAGTGCCCCGTCCCGGTCCTCCCTGGCCAGGCCCAGAACCTTCTGTGCTCTTCGCCTTAAAGTCCCCAGCTTCCAGGCTGGGCGGCGGTGGCGCACGCCTTTAATCCCAACACTTGGGAGGCAGAGGCAGGCGGATCTCTGTGAGTTTGAGGCCAGCCTGGTCTATAAAGTTCTAGGACAGCTAGGACTGTTACACAGAGAAACGGTCTCCAAAGAAAAGAAAAAAAAAAGCCCCCAGCTTCCAACATGTACATCCCTCTCTCCCTTTTCAGTTTTTTGAGTCAGGATCTTACACTGCACAACCCAAGTTGTCCTCAAACTCATGGTAATCCTCCTGCCACTGCTTCCCCTGGTGTGAGCCATCACACCCAGCTGGGAAAATCTCTGGCACTAGGGAGCCAGCCAGGTGCTTACCCGAAGTGTGGGAGGTGGTTACACTTCAGAGAGGCGTGTGATTTATGGCTCCTCAAAGGCAGGAAATGGAGAGTCAAGGAACATGAGCTTGGGGAAGCTGGAGGCTTCATCCTTGGGCAAGGCCAGAAGCTCCTGAAGCCTGTTCTGCACACTGAGGTGTCTAGAATCTTGTGTGGGTTTGTGGCCAGGGAAGGCTACTGCTGGGCACTGTACTAGGTCACTTTCCAGCCCAGAGCCTGGCCACTGCTGGCAGGGAGGTAGGTTAAAAACTCAGGTCACTCAGGCAAAGGGACAGAGCAGGCCACTAGAACTTCTGGGACCCTGCCATGGAGGGAGAAGCCAGTGCTTTTTCTGATGTCATAGGGGATTCATGGGCACCGGGTATTCCTGCTAGCCTCACAGGTAGGCACTTCACCATTTCCCTGTCCCATGAGAAAACTGACAATAGATTCGGCAGCCAGGGCTTCTCACACTTTAGTGCCCCCAGGAATCGCTGGCCAATGTCCAAAAGCAAACTCCAACTCCCGCAGATGTGGGCGGAGTTAACATGGCTTTGCTTGTCAGCTGGGTCGGTTGGTTGCTTTTCTGGTGCTGGGAAGGAGGATCTCTGGCCCTAGCACTGAGCTGCTCCCGACCCCCAAGACTGCCTTTCTAAGGGGCTCTCAGAGACAGCTGCCACTAAACTACCCAGCTCCCAAGAGGCAGGCCCTCTGGGGGAGGGGACACAAATGGACAGACACGCTCACCCAGCACATGCAGTGGGCCAGGGCTCCAGGAGATTGCAAGGCTCATCTTCACCCCCACCCCACCAGGCCGTAGTCTAACAGAAAAGAGCCCATAGCTGAGGACAGGGACAGACTGACCAGGTGAACTGGACGCAGGGATCTGGGAAGGCACAGGGGTAGAGAAGGAGCCTGAGGTTTACGGCAGCCAGGCTGGCTAGCCACATGCTGCTCCATTGTTCTGGGAAGAGTGAATTCTGAGTGAAGAGAAGGGAGGGATGCCAGGGGCGGGGCCATGAAACAGAGAAGAGCAAACAGTCGGGGATGAGGAGAGAATACTCCAGTCCCTCCAGCAGCCCAGCTGGGGAACTCCCGCCTTCAAGTGCAGGAACCAAAAGCAGTCCCTTCCATAATACCACCTCAAGAACTCCCCCAGGAACGCCCATCCGCGGGACAGAGGCCACCACTGCCCTAGGTCTCTGCAAGGCCAAGTGGACCCTGTTCTCCACCAAACCTAGCCCTGAGTTCCTCCCCCCAACATTCTGTTCCACCCCCACCCCCCTACCCCCATTTTCCTCATCTCCCAGCCTGACTCTCCCATCTTCTCCTAGACCCACTAGTTCCCTGCTCCAGTTTGGACAGGAACCGTGCAGCATCCAGTGGCTGGAAGCTGGAGAGGTGGTTCTGGCCACAATGCGGAGCAGGAGGTGAGCTTAATAACAGCGGGCCCCATGGTGTGCACGGTCACACTAGGGTCACGGGAAGAGCCCTTCCCTCCCACAGCTGCCAGATATGGGACACAAAGCAAATTCCTGCCCTAGCACTCAGGAGGACAAAGAAAGTCAGTTCCCCCCAAGCCTAGGCTGAGTCTAACCCTTACTCAGATCCCAACACAGAAAAGATTCTGTTCCCACCCTGGGGTGGGGGGCGTGGGTTACGACAAGTGGAGGGTGTAAGGGCACATGGTGGCATCCAAGTTGTCACCCAAGAGGAGACAGTGGCAGGAGACCAGACTCTGAGGAGACCCGTCCCAGAGCAGGGGATGGCTGAGCAGAGGCTTAAAGGGTCACTTAGGGACCCAGAGTCACAAAGCAGCTAGAGAAAGAAGGTCCTTTGAAAAGTTTGAGCCCAACAGGACAAAAAAAAAAAAAAAAAAATGGGGACATGGGACAATTAAAAACATATTTGTGGATTGGTTTTAAACATTGTTTTTGTTTAACCGGTTTGGTGTTTGGAGCCAAGGAAGACCCTGAAATCCTGAATCCTACCTCTCCACCTCCCCAGTGCAGGGCTGCAGGCATAACCCATCACTATTGATTTAATGAATCAATTATTTTTCACACTCCCTCTGACTTCAGCTTGGAGAACAGACTGAAAGCACCAAGACTGGGCCATAGGAAGAGGACAGCAGAACAGCCAGGAGGAGAAAAGAAGCTCCTATTTCTCCGGGCACTTGGGCTAGCCAGCTCCTCTATTCCCGCACACACCCCTTTCTGGTAGAAAAGGTTATTTATAATATTCCTGTCGGCAAAAGCAGTCTCCTATTTTGCAAAGAGGCACCACCGCTTCTCAGACCGCAGACCCTGCAGGAGAGGGCTGATCTACAGTTCACCCTGCACAGACCTACGCTGCAACCCCAGAAAAGCTGTGGGCTCACAGCCTGGCTTTTTAAATAAAAATCAAAACCTAACCTTGCATTTCCGGCCTGTAAAGGCCGCCAGCGCGGGTGAAGTTTTCCTTTGCGCCCTAGGGCCTTCCCCCTCTCCCCCCGCTCCCGCCCCATCCCGGCGCAAACACCAAGCCAAGGCGCCCAGCCGCTCCTCCTCCCTAGAAGAGGCCCAACCGCGAGGGACCAGGGCGGCTCCCCTTCTCCCGGCCTGGCTACTGTCCCGCCGCCCAGCGTGCAGCTAGCAAGGCCCGGCCCCTCGGGGACCGCTCCACCTCCAGCTAGCAGCGAGTCCCCCAGCACCTCCAGCCCGCCGGAAAGCACAGGGGAGGGAGCGCCGCCCACGCACAAAACAGGTGGCCTAGCGGTAAGTACTACCCGAAGTCTCGCAAGGATACCTCCTACTGCAGCCAAACCTACCCGTGTCCCCTTAGGGAGGGTGAGTAACCCGCGCGCCCCAAACTAGCCCGGGCGATTGGGGCACGTCCGGGAAGGGACCCAGCGCGGAGCTGGAGAGCCGGAAGGCCCAGCAGTGGGGGATCAGAGGAGCAGAGCAAGCCTCGGCCCATCCCCGCGGCTCCCGGGGCTCCCGGGGACCCCGTGCTCCACCACACCCTTCCCTAGAGTCCCGGAACAACAGCTTACCTGGCGACACGTTTGAGTGGAGGAGTTCGAGTCGTCCCAGCTGCTGGCCTCGGACTACAAGCAGATATCTGGGGAGGGGGCGTGGCCGTCGGGTAGGGCAGAGGGCGGGACCACGCCCCCTGGGGCTCCCGGCCAATGGACTCGCGGCCCGGAACGCGGGCCTGGGCCAGCCGGGAGGGAGAGGAGAGCAGCGCAGCTGCCTCGGCGGGACCTTTGTGTTGACGCCCCGCGGGTACGAGCGCGGGATGCGCGCACGGGACTCGGCCGAGGGGCAGCAGGTGTCCTCCCCCCGCGGGGCTGCCGACGCCCAGTGTCGATCCGGTGCCCGGGAAAGTGGCACAATCGGGTCTCCGCGCGCGCCCCTCCTGGGCACAAGTCCAGCCCCCACCTGCCCTTGACTCGAGATAAGCGAAACGCCTGGGTTTTTTGCAGGAACTACGAGATAAAAGAAAAGGCAGAGACAGAGAAACATCAAAACAAGGGAGGAGTGAAGCTGTTGTTTTGTTCTTCTATTGGCTAATTGATTCATTCTCCCTTGGCTGATTCTGGGACAGGCTGGCCTCAGTCTCCCTAATAAAGGGTGTTGCTTCCAATTCGCAGAGAGGAAACTGAGGAACAGAGGCGTGCTATGATCTATCTCCACAGTCAAAATGGAGAGCAGGCCCTCAGCATGACCCCAGGGTCAGATTCATATTTCCTAGGCCTGGGAAAGGGGTACCCTATAGGTGTGGTGGGCAGCAGGTCCAGGAGTCCCGGTGGTATTTCCTCCCTGCTGAAACCCTTTAACTCCACCCCCAGGGCATGCTGGGCCATCAAGAAAACTAACAAAGCCAACTCTCTCTCTCTCTCTCTCTCTCTCTCTCTCTCTCTCTCTCTCTCTCTCTCTCTCTCTCTCTCTCACTCTCTCACTCTCTCACTCTCACTCTCACTCACTCTCCTCTCTCTCTCTCTCTCTGTCTCTGTCTCTCTCTCTGTCTCTCTGTCTCTGTCTCTCTCTCTGTCTCTCTCTGTCTCTCTCTCTCTCTCTCTCTCTCTCTCTCTCTCTCTCTCTCTCTCTCTCTCTCTCCTGGCGGTGGGACAAGTTGGTACCAGCATAGAGGGAGTATTGCTGTTGCAGACTTTTGATCATGTTTTTGGGAGGATTGTAGAAGGACTTTGGGTTAGAAGAGGCATTGAATGTTAAGAGCTCTGTGGGATGTTCTGTGAGAGCTTGGAAGATAAGAATGTTGAGAGCAGTGCAGAGTATAGAGGCCTGGCTTGGGAAGTTTCATAATTATCAGGACCATTTGTTATTTTGAATTAAGAGTCTGTGGTTCTGGTCAGCTGGCTGAAGAATCACCTGTGATTAACAAGACACCAGAACTACTAAAGCAAAATTGCTTTGCTGGGATACTTGATGCTGGAGCTAAGAAATTAGCAGTGATTGAGAAGCTGGGTGGTGCGCAATGGAGGCAGGCTTGGGTCACTTCTCCAGCTTCACCATCTGCTCACAACACAGCTGGTCTTCTAAGCTCAGGCAGGCTCCTCTCTACCACTACTGCTGTTCTTGGTGGTCATCCCATGTACTGATCTCCAAAATGCTGGTGTCCTCTGCTGCAACTGGATTGCATTTTCACCAATAGCCTCTCATAGGCTCTCTTCATCATGGCAAGCCTCAAATTCTCTGCATGACCCCTTCAATCCTGGGCCTTCAAATGCTACTGAAACAGCACCTTCACCAACGGCCACTCCTGGCTTCTCAGTGATGAGCCTCAGCTGCTCTTCAAGACCCCTTCATGCCTTCAAAACCACTACTGCCTGGGTGACTCTTACACTACCAAATCCGGCTGCCAGCACAAGGTACAACTTTGGCCGCCTCTGGAACACAGCTTCTCTGTGCTCTCAGAAAAAAACTTCCCAGAAGATTGTGAGTGGACCTCAGCCACTGGATGGTTGGAATTTGGGTTTGAGTTTACCTGATTGACTGTGCACTGATTTTTCACTCTTGAAGTAAATGTTTTACTGGAGTACACAGTTGAGAGACTTCAAGTTTTAAGACTTTGGATTTTAAGAGATTGACTATTTTAAAGGGACTGAAATTTTAGTGTGTTTGAATTTGTAAGGACTGTGGGACTTTTAAAGTTATGTTTTTAGTGTGAGATCTTGGGGATGAATAAGAAAGGAAGGGCTGTGGCTTACTAGTCATTTGTGTGTCAAATTGACAAGGGATCAGTTGTACTGGTTGGTTTTGTGTGTCAACTTGACACAAGCTAGTGTCATCAGAGAGGAAGGAGCCTCAGTTAAGGAAATGCCTCCATGAGATCCAGCTGGTGATTTTCTCAATTGGTGACCAGTGGGGGAGGGGCCATCTTATGGTGGGTGGTGCCATCCCTGGGCTGGTGGTCCTGGGTTCTATAAGAAAGCAGGCTGGCCAGACGATGGTGGTACATGCCTTTAATCCCAGCACTAAGGAGACAGAGGTAGGTGGATCTCTGTGAGTTGGAGGCCAGCCTGGTCTACAGAGCAAGTTCCAGGACAGCCAGGAATATGCAGAGAAACCCTGTCTTGAAAAACCAAAAAAAGGGATTGGGGATTTAGCTCAGTGGTAGAGCGCTTACCTAGCAAGTGCAAGGCTCTGGGTTCGGTCCTCAGCTCCAGGGAAAAAAAAAGAAGGGGGGGGGAGAGAGAGAGAGAGAGAGAGAGAGAGAGAGAGAGAGAGAGAGAGAGAGAGAATATGCAGGCTGAGCAAGCCAGGGGGGAAGCAAGTCAGTAAGCAGCACCCTCCAAGGCCTCTGCATCAGTTCCTGCCTCCAGATCCCTGCCTTGTTTGAGTCTTGTCCTGACTGACTTCCTTTGGTGATAAACAGCAATGTGGAAGTGTTAGCTGAATAAAACCCTTTCCTTCCCAACTTGCTTTTTGGTCATAGTGTTTCGTCACAATAGAAACTTTAAGAGTCTGTGTGTGTGTGTGTGTGTGTGTGTGTGTGTGTGTGTGTGTGTATGAGAGAGAGGTCGTGGGTGTTGGTACCACATGCATCTGGAGGCCAGAGAACAACTTTCCCCTTTAGATAGGTTCCGGGATTGCACGAAGGCCACCAGGTTTGCATGGCAAGGATCTCACTGACCACCCCCCCCCTTTTTTTTAAGACAGGGTCTTATGTAGCCCAGGCTGGCCTTGATCTTGTTAGTTGGCTGAAGATGGCCCCAAACTGAGGATTGCTTTGCTCCAGCCTCCCATATGTCAGGATCACAGGTGTATGCCACCATACCTAAGTCTCTCATTATTTTAAAGCCACAGCTTCTCCTGAAGTATCTCGTGATCAGGGTGAGGAGGAACCGTCCAGCTGAGTGAAGGCAGGAGCGACTTCCTTCTGGATGGTCACTTTCCTGTCCTTAGCCATATCTGCCCCTTTGGAAAGCAGCATGCCATGGAAGAACAGGAGTCCTAGCGCCACATACACACACACCCCCTCTGCACACTCCAGTGCAGGAGCGTCTTAAGGCTTTTTTGGTTTGTTTTGCAGGCCCCCCATATGTAGCCCAGCTGGCCTAGGACTTGCTAAGGAAGACCAGGCTTTCAGACTCACAGATACCTGCTGGCCTCTGCCTCCCAAGTGCTGGGATTAAAGACGTGTGCCACCACACCCTGGCTCATTTTGGAGCCTCTCACCTTCTGTCCCCTCTGCTGGAACTTTCTCTCCCAGATCTTCCCAGGCACCTCCCTCTGGTCATTACAGCGCAATGTTCTTTCCTCTAAAGAGACTCTGCTCCCTCGGGACAAAACAGCACTCCAGCCCTTGTATCTATTGCTATTCCCCGAGGGGAGGGGAGGCCCAGGAGCCCCAGCTCCTCCAGCTGTCCTTCTCTGGGCCCCTGTCAGCCAAGCCACACAGAGTGCCCTGTGCAGTGATTACAGCACATTCCTCGGAGTCCTCCTTCTCATTTTCCAGCCCACATTGGGTCCTTCTGGGTGAAAGAATGAGCAGGATGGGAAATGTACCCATTAAACAGTCCTAATTGTGGAGTCCTGATATACACAGAGAGCCCAGAGAGGCTTTGTGTGTAAGGGACACAAAGTCTCTAACAGGAGAGGGACCCAGACGGGCCACCCTGGACTCCCAAGTGTCAAAACTCTGAACTCGTTTTGCTCCTGCTGTGGCCTTCCTTGCCTGTGTGACTCTGCTAATGTGAGCAGGAGTCTCATGTAGCCCAGGAGGTCTTGGACTTACATACAGCTGAAGATGGCCTGGAGCTGCCAGTCTTTCCTCCTGCCTCCACATGCTGAGATCGAAGGTGTGCGCAAGTCCAGTTGATGAGGTGGAAGAGAACCCCAGGGCTTTATGCACGCCAGGTTAGTGCTCTGCCCACTGAGCCACATCCCCAGCACCCACTACAAGCCTCCTGTGTACAAAGCAAGAAGCTAATGCTTCACATGGACTGCTGGTATCTGTCACTCATGTGACAAGTTTTATTGGGCATCTACTGTAGATGTAACCAACCATCTTATTAGATAAGAAACACAGAGCCGATTCAGAGAAGAAAGCCAAGAGGTCAGAGCTAAGAGCCTCACCCTTCCTGCTTCAGCGATCCTCTTCAGTCAAGAGAGCTCTCCGAAACAGGCCTACTTCCTGTGTGTACGTCTTTATATAGTCTAGCTGTTCTGCCTTCTCATTGGTTGTAAACCCAAACACGTGACTGCCTTGTCACTGCCTGAATGTACCGCCCTCCAGGTCCTTAAAGGCGTGCGCCACTGCCGCCATGTACTTGATATGGCTCTAATAGCTCTGACCCCCAAACAACTTTATTTATTAACATACAATTAAAATCACATTTCAGTACAAGTAAAATACCACCACAATCTACTCTGTACCAGGCACTGTGCTAGGGACCTGGAACACAAGTCCACAGTGGCCAATCAAACTAATGCTTGAGTGGTTAACTGCAGACAGGTCACTGTTCTCCAAATTGAGCCAGGGGCTAGCTAGGGTGTGACTCAGTGGCAGCACATGCCGAGCGCTTGCAAGTCTATGTCAGCCTGACAAGCCAAACTAACAAACAAAAAAACCAAAAACCTTTGGGGCACAGTGGTGAGTGTCTGTAGTGGCAACAGTCAGGAAGCAAAGTCAGGCAGATTGTAGTGAGTTCAAGGCCAACCCAGGCTACACACTGACTCAAACAGAAAGCAACTGGAATGAATTTGAGCAAAGTGGTATGATGGGGACCTGTCCCTGTCTACAGAGGGCATGACAGTCCCCCACGAGCTGAGATTCTGACA